GTCGCGTATCGGTGTCAACTTGTGTTGACTCAGGGGACTTCTCTAAGCTCTCTCCTTTGCCCTCTTCGGGGCTGGCCTTTGACGTGACCTCGTGGTCGGCTTTAGAAGAATCCTCTAAGCCCTCAGTGTTTTCCTCGTCGTCAATGTCGTCCTCTTTCGATTTAGAATCAGACACAGGTAGTGTCAAGTCTGAAGCAAGCGATTCTGGCGCACTTTCAGATGTCTCGATTGCTAATGTCATGTTTGGCATGGTCTCCAACGCCTCACCGTCCGATGTCTCAGTTCCGTCTACACTTTTGTCTGACTCGATGCTGCCATGCCGGCTGCTGTCTCTTGTGCTGGCTGACGCTGATAAACTTCGTGTGGCGGCAGGCCTGGTTGACAAACCGTCGTACAGCTCCACCAAACCCTGTACCTTGGAGGATGACTTTCTTTGTACAACGTCGGGACTCGGCGTCGTTGTGATCTTGTTGGTGCTGGTGGCGGTGGCATCGTCATCTTCAACAGACGTTGTCGGCGAGTCTTGATGCGGATCGTCGTTGTCAGCATGGTGGTGGTGACTGCTGCCGTCGGAGCTAGAGGTTGACGGGCGAGAGGAGGAGTCTATCGAGGGAAAGGTTGGTTGCGGTGGAGGTTTCGGGGTATCATCGGGGTCGTCTTCAGAATTACCTCCCGTGCCTTTGCTTTCGACATGTTGAGCAATAATTTGTGGAACGCCATCTGTTGCTGCTTCTGTTGCTGTTTCTGTTGCTGTTTCTGTTGCTGTTTCTGTTGCTACTTCATCCTTAGTGTTCACCTCGTCTTGACCCAAGCTCTTGCCAACACTATTGCTGTCGTCGAGGAGCAGGACTGGGATGGACAGTGTGCTACTCGCTCTTCCCCTCGCGTAGTCTTGTCTTTGGTCTGCTTCGCCGCGCTTTTCGTTCGTCAACACTGTGCTCCATGGGTCGACACTGGGCGAGCGCGAAAAGCCGCTGATGCTGCCCTTTCGGCGGCCGAGGCTGTTTACAGACGAGCGCGACAGAGCGCGCCGTCGTCGCGGGCTGCCGCCGGGAGAGCCGGCTGGTGACAGGGCTGCGGAGCCCGGCCAGGCAATGGGGCTCAGCTGGCCCAGTCCGCCGTACGTCGACTTTTCTTTGCGTTGCGGCGACAGGTGCTGGCTGCTGCTGCCAAAACCGTTTGCAAAATCATTTTCGAAACCGAAGCCAGCTGTCTCGGCCGCTGCGAACGCTCCCCAACCAGATGCATCCGGCGTGGAGGCACCGCCCACATGCCCTCCTGTATGTCTCTTTTCATCGATATCGGTCGTCGATGCCGTCGTCCAGTCGCCAAAGGCATTGTCGTCGTCGAACCCGCCAAAGCCGCCGTCGTCATCGTCAGCCCAGGGCGATGTTTCCGGGAGGGAAGCAAACGGTGTGTTGCCGCTGAGGCCGCCAGCCAGGACAGCCGCCTGCGGTGGTTTGAGCGTTTCGCTCACACCATTTGCGGTAGAGTCACCATGGCCACTTCCACCACGACTGCCACTGTCGTTGCCGTTGCCGTGGCTGCTGCTGCTGTTGCTATGGCCGGCGGATGAAGTCCATGGAGAGCCCCATGGATCGTCCATTGTGGGCGACGACGCGCATGGTTGAATGTAGAAAAGGATGGTCGGTATGTATCTGCCGTGCGCCAAGCAGAAACAACTTCGACTCGCTATCGGTCGGCGTCGTGGTCGCGTGTCTTGAGAAGTGGACGTCGAAGCAAAAGGGGCCAAGGGGCGTGCATATGGAGCTTTGCTTGCTGTGCAAAAGACGCGCTAAGACCTTTGAAAAGGTGGTGGGCCTGATGCACAAAACGTCAGCGCTGTGGCTCCGGGCTCCCGGCGGCGTGTCAATGCCACTGTATTACGACGTAGGCACCGGCATTCGACTATCATTGGCGGGCGGGAGGAATTGCTGAGCAGTAGCGCCTGCCAGGGTTCTGGGCTGATCTGTTTTACAAGGATTTACAGGCATTGCCAGCGCTCATTCGCCAGAAGATTCCGCCACGCCAATTACTAATTGCGTCCTGTTGCGGCGCTCGTCTTAACGTCTTTTTACAAGTCTTGTAATTGTTTTAAGACGACCAACCGCATCTGACCGACGACAGCCTTGTCGACGATGTGATACCGCCTCATACGGGCTCTTCTTACAGCGACAAGCTGCTGTGTTTGACTGTCTCGACTGCGTCATGTCTCTCACAAAAGTCAAACACATTGTGCTGGTACGTCTTCTTGCGTCGTCTCGTGACTTTATTCGCATGTCGACATCCCCCGAAAGTCTACAGAAGTGCATGCTGACACACACAGGTCCTGTCCGGCAAGGGCGGCGTCGGCAAGTCATCGGTCACGACCCAGCTGGCCCTGTCCCTCTCGCTTGCAGGCCATTCTGTCGGCGTCCTCGATGTCGACCTCACCGGCCCGTCCATCCCGCGCATGTTTGCCATTGAAGACCAGAAAGTCACGCAGGCGCCCGGCGGCTGGCTGCCCGTAACCGTCCACGAGGCCGACCCGGAAAAGGGCATCGGCTCACTGCGCGTCATCAGCTTGGGCTTCTTGCTGCCCAAGCGCGGCGATGCGGTCGTGTGGCGCGGGCCCAAGAAGACGGCCATGGTCCGCCAGTTTCTGAGCGACGTCTTCTGGGGCGAGACCGACTACCTCCTGATCGACACGCCGCCCGGAACGAGCGACGAGCACATTTCGCTGGCCGAGACCCTACTGCAAAGCACAACACCCGAGCAGATGGCCGGCGCCGTGGTTGTCACAACGCCGCAAGCAGTAGCTACGGCGGACGTGCGCAAGGAACTCAACTTTTGCACGAAGACGAGCATCCGTGTGCTGGGCGTCGTCGAGAACATGGCCGGCTTTGTGTGCCCCAACTGCTCCGAGTGCACGGACGTGTTTATGCGCGGCGGCGGCAAGGCCATGGCCGCCGACTTCAACGTGCCGTATCTGGGCAGCGTGCCGCTGGACCCCCAGTTTGTCGTGCTGGTAGAGTCGGGACGCACACCCGTCTATCCGGCCGGGACACAGGTGCAGGGCGCGGCCTTTGTGCCGCCAGAAGCCACCGAGAGCAGCAACGGCGTCGGACGGCGGCGCGATCTGCTGGTGCAAAAGTATCGCGCCTGTTCTCTCGAGCCCATTTTCCGCGGCATCACAGCAGAGGTGACGAAGGCGGCGACGGGTCAACGAACATAAAAATGATAGAATAAGGCTCATACTACAAAATAAAAATCGCAAAACGACAAATATGCCTCATACTCCCTTGGACCGTATGCTCTGGACTGGAGATCCCGTCTTCCAAGGTGGCTGCATATTATCACGCTGTCCCATACCATTCTGTCGACTCGCAGTTGGCCTGTTCGGCCTAACTTGGTTGGCTGCAGAAAACATTCAGCGCCCAACGGTCGCCATCACAGGCCTCGCAACCTATGACGACAGGGACCGGCCCTGTACGACGGGTGCTGTTGCGCCCTCGGGAAGGACGAAAGTGTGGGTCTAGCCGCTACATGGGGGCCCAATCGTGAAGAGAAGCAGCCACCACAGCCCACTGTTGCAGCAGACCCACTCCCGATTTTTGGAGGGGAACAGTGAAGGAATGGGCGAAAAAGAAAGTGCAGGAACAAAGCGGCTGCACACCAAAAAAGAAAAAGACCCCACCACTAGAAATTCTCGCACGCACACACAAAGTCTGCCAATGGTCATTGGCGGGGCGCGCCTTCTTCCAACCTGGTGAACGTCGTACTGTACCAGGGCCTAGTCTTGAAGTAAAAAACATTTTTAGCAGTCTTTTTTTAGAGGCGGACTTTTGGCACTTTTTGACGTCGTCGGCATTTTTTTCTCACTTTCTCCTCTTCCTCTGCAAGCCAAGCTTCTCCTTTACTTTATTTTCACTTTTTTTGCCTCACATTGTCGAAATCTCATCTCATCGTCTTTCCAACTCACTGCCTCGAGCAACAGACCACTGTCACCAATTCCTGGCTTTTCTGCACATCCCAATTCTGGCCGATCGCCACTGCAGCTTCGACCTCACTCCGCCAGAACCCGAACATTAAGCCTGTTTAAGTACACACGCACGCGACTCTGTACGTCACGCATCGCCGCCTCCTACCTCCGTCACCTCGAGCAGCAGCCCAACTCGAAACCACTGCAAGCCCTCACCGTCGACCTCGCCGCTATCGTCATCACCCTCCTCCCCTTTCTCTCAATCTTCTCGTCCTTTTCCCTCGTCCTCCCCCGGGACCACTTTAATGTCAGCCACCGCCATATAGCCCTCCTCAACCTCCCGGTCCTCATATAAAGACGGTCTGGGCCCTTGAACATCTTGTGTCTCTACGGCAGTGATCCATGAGCTCAAAGGATCTCCTGCGTTTCCTCTCCAAGCCCGCAAAGTATGTCTCATCATGACGTTTCTTGTATAGCGTCGTTTTCTCGTTCTCTCTTCGTTCTCCGCACCTCACCTCGTCTTCGCCTAGACACGTTCTTTTGCTGTCGTGTTCTCTGCTGACTCTTCTTTCTCTCACAGGCCCCGATAGCACCCTTTACAAGCACCTTTTTGGTACTTTCTCGTCTGCTCCTGCAGCAAAACCAAACCCAATCCCAACACTTCTCGATCGTTGCCTGGTACTCTGTCCCGAGTATCGGTCCTTCTATCGGGTTGTTCGTTGCACCCCAACTGCCCAAGATTCCTTCCTCGCAGGTCTTCCGCCTCCCCGTCTCCGCCCGCCCCCCATAACGCGCTCTCCCACGAGAGACGTCTATCCCAGATCCTACAATCGCACGCCCGCTGCTCACCTCTCCCACCGTCCTGTGGGCCTACTCTCCTCAAACGGACACCGCAAGGTTCGTTTGAGAGGAAGCTAGTAGCGCTCCGCGGAAGCTGCAAGCATCACCACCCCAACGCCGACCTCGATCCTCCATCCACCGCTACTCGCCTCGTTCATCCCGTTTCAGCCGGCCCCAAACCTGATTTCCACAAACGGAGATGGTCGCTCTTGATATCCCCAATGGCTGCACTCTCTCGCCGTCCCTCGCAACGCCGCATCTACTCGGCACGCCGCATCTGCATATCAATCACGATGTCGCCGCCGATCTAGACTCGTCCAACGCCTTTGAGGGCCCTGAGAAGCTTCTCGAAGTCTGGTTCGCTCCCAGCCCCAAGGCCCTCGCGCCCTCTGTCAAGGAGAATGGCCTCAAGTCCGTGCCCGCCGACGTCTGGGTCGAGATGCTCGACCTTGTCAACTGCAAGATCCTGTCCGTCATCCACTCCGAGACTGTCGATGCCTACCTGCTCTCCGAGTCCAGCATGTTTGTGTTCCCCCACAAGATCATCCTGAAGACCTGCGGCACCACCACGCTGCTCCTGGGTCTGCACCGCATGCTGCGCATTGCCGCCACTGTGGCTGGTTTCCCCTTCCACAACGCTGTCTCGGCCAACGACATCCGCGCTGCTGCCACGCCCTACCGCGTCTTCTATAGCCGCAAGAACTTTTTGTTCCCGGACCGCCAGCAGGGCCCCCATCGCAGCTGGAAGCAGGAGGTGAAGTACCTCGACGACATGTTTGAAGGCGGCAGCGCCTACATGGTCGGCAAGATGAACGGCGACCACTGGTATCTGTACATTACGTCGCCCACCTTCAACCCGACCCCGCCGCAGACGCCTGTGGACAAGGACAGCAACGCTGTGCTCGGCAGCCTGGTCTCCCGCTCGAACAAGATCCCCACCGGTATCCTGGCGACCCCGGCCGACCGTGCCCCTGGTGACCATGCCTCTGCCGCCGACGATGAGGATAAGCACGACGAGACACTGGAGATTCTCATGACGGACCTCGACCCGGAGAACGCGAAGCAATTCTACCTGTCGAATGCGAGTGCGGTCGCGCACGACAGGATCCTGTCCCAGACAGACAGCGCTCTCCTCAAGGCTGCCACGGCCTCCAAGCAGCAGCAGCAGCAGCAGCACGGCCATGGCCATGGCCTCGTGCAGCAGGACAGCCACATGTCTGACAGCACCTACAGCGTTCTCGACTCGGAGGACCTGTTTGACGTTGACGACATTGCCGTTCAGAACGCTGCCAACGGCAACAAGAACGACAACGGCGCCTGCAGCTCCGGTGGCTCGCTGACACCCCTGAGCGAGCATCTGGACTCTGCCGACATGGAGGCCCTGACCACCGAGGGCCACGCTCTCGGCACGGTTGTCTCCGACAGTTGCGGTCTGTCGGACGTGTACCCCCAGTCGGTCTACCCAGATGCGCGCATCGATGCCTACATGTTTGCGCCCTGCGGCTTCTCGGCCAACGGCGTCATTCCTGCGCCGCCCGCGGATGGTGATGCTGTCGCCAGTTCGACCACCAACGGCGAGATTCCCGAGACAGCCGAGACGGCCGAGACGGCCTCGGTGTCGACCAGCGACTCCGGCCCGACCTCCGCCCAAGGCAACCACTACTTCACTGTCCACGTTACGCCCGAGCCCAACTGCTCGTTTGCCTCGTTCGAGACCAACGTGCCCGGCGGGCAAAAGGGCCGCCAGACGGCCGACATTGTCAAGCACGTAGTGGACATCTTCCGCCCCGGTCGCTTTAGTGTCACGCTCTTTGAGGCCAAGGGCACGTCGATCGACAGCACCACCAAGCCCGGTGGCTCCTCCGGCAAGCGCCTTGAGCGCATCCCCGGCTACCGCCGCATTGACCGCATCGTTCACGACTTTGAGGACTATGACCTTGTCTTCCGCTTCTTCGAGCGCGAGGGCTTTGTCAGCAATGGCGAGGCGCGCGTCGGCGAGCTGTAAGGGGGAGGCTCCGTACTTGTGGTGCTTATTTGGTCTGCGGTTCTGTTCTTGATGGGCCGCCTTAAGATTGAATACATTGTTTGAGTCATTCATTCATGTTGCTGCTTTGCCATTACTTTGTCATATGCTTCTGATTATGCGCGATGACTTGAGTTTTTTGAAAACTGTCTGTTTCCATTCACGGCACATTTTTTACCTTTCACTGTCTCTCATTTATAGCCACGTTTTTTGACCTTTTATGCCCCCATTTTTCTATATTGCCGGCTCAGGGCGTTCTTTATGAATAAGACCCTGTTGTCATTGTTCTTTCACGATAGTGCCACAAGACTTCGCGTATGGAGTCTTCATTTTTTTCGAATGGAATATTCACAGACACAAGACACAAGACACTATTCAATATGCAGGAAATATGTGTGACTGAAATGTATCTACGACATTATTTTCACAAATATCAGTAATATCTATGCCACGTTGTTTGTCATCAGTGTGCTAAATATATTGCCAGAGTAGTTTCTCGGTAGTATATGAACTTATTAATGTTTATACTTAAGCATAGTTAACTGTTTTTTTTTATAAAAAAAAAAAACAGAAGCACGTTCTAAATTTAACATTAATACAGATTGTTAAGAGCTTTGAGAATGTGGCTATTTGTAGTATGTAGTCGAGAAAACTTAATATAGTAGCAATGGCTGATGTCTCTCCTTAACGGTCCTCGATAAATCTCCCACTTTGCTAATTGTCTCTCTTGTCACCTCCCTTGGGAAGGTATTTCATATATCGAAAAATGTAATGCCCCCAAACCGCCCCAGGGCCTTCTGCAGCGGGCGGCGGCATCGGTGCATATTCATCAAGATCCACGTCCAGTGACCGAATAACTTCAAAGCCTGACTTGGCATACATCTTCCATGCCGGCTCCGACGAGTGGACCCAGGCGAAGACCCCGTGAGCGTCACAGAGGTCCGTTCCCCACCGCAAGAGCGCCGAGCCAACACCGCGGCCCTGGTACTGCGGTGACACGGTGAGCCCAATGACAAAAAGACAGCGGACCTTGGGCGGTCCATCTGGTGGGTTGGCCGGCATAACCTCGTCCATCCAGGCCTGCATGTCGGCGCCCGTCAGTGCCTCGAGCCGCTTGATGGGGTCTGCCGGGGGCGTGTCTTCTTTTCGTGGTGCATGATCTGCTTTCGCTGCCGGCGGTGTGGTGGCCGGTTTGGGCGCCCGTCCTGGGACGACGGGCATCTCATCGGGCGCAAAGCCGTGGAAGCCCCAGTTGCAATAGCCCATGATGTGGCGAGTATCGGGATCGACGACTTTGAGCACGACGCGGCGGGGGCTCGTGAGCGTGCTGGGCAGCGTCTGCAGTGTGTACTGTTCCATATCAAAGGGCTGTTCCTTGCCGAGGGCCTTCATTTGCGTCTGGCGGTCGGTCTTAAAGGCATCGGCGCTCATACGGGCCACGGCCGTGACATCGTCGATGGTGACGGCCTCAAGTTTGTAAGACACGGACATTGTACAGTGTCGTTGAGATTTTCTTGTGATTGCATTTGTGTGAGTTTTGGTTGTGTTTATATTTCGTAAGATAGCGATGAGTCCTATCTCCGCATTTGACGCACGCTGCGCATCCCTCCGCTTATCGCATGCGGCTTAAATTGGTGTGATAGAAAATGAGGAAATGTTTCTCATTATTTGACGTTTCATTTTCCAATGCAATGCACTTTTGAGAATAAAAACACCTTTCTCCATGTTAACTTGTTGACAGCCAAATCGAAAATCAAATGCTTCATTTAAAACAAAAAACAACAACAAAACAGGGGGGCTGCCCATCACCAAATGCTCGTTCGTCCTCTGCCTGTATTTTCCTGCCCTTTCCCACAAATCTCCTTTGATCTGCCACGCTCTTGTTGATTGTTCAAAACAATGTCTATAGGACCATCTTGAGATAAGATGGAAAAAGGAGACAGGGTAAAAGAGCGAATATAACAAGTATAAGAAGGAAAGAGAAAAAGAAACGTCACAACCAAAACAACTCGGGCTATGCCACATCTGGTAACCGGACGGCTATGTCACCCGACTGTGTTATGTATCTAACCCACGGCAGGGAGGGGTATTGGAGCTGGAGAGAGCACGTTAGTATATGAAAAGGCAGGGCGAAACGATCGATACGCGCACATGAAGGGTCGTACCTTTGGTTCTGTAATCTTCAAGTAGCGGACCTGGATTCCACTGGTAGTGAAATACGGAATCTCAAACTTGACCTGGATCGGCCGCTTAGCGCCCTTGCCTGGTGCACCCACGCCGCCCATGCTGCCGCCAAAGCCGCCCGTCATGCCACCACCGTGCTCGTCGTCACCACGCACACTCGGCAGGCCCAGCTCGGCGCGCATCAGAAACTCCTTGTTGCCTCCAAACTGCTTGATCTTCCAGACGATGGCGCTCTGCTCGGGCGCGTAGTGGACGGTGCCAATGTTGGTGCGGAAGCGCGGGGAGTCGGCGTCGTCGGGGACGGGCACGATGATTTCGACGTTGTTGGCGGTGCTCCTCCGCTTGAACTGCGCTTTGGCCTTGAGCATGTACTCGATGCGGCTGCCGCTGTGCGACTCGACGACGCACTCGACCCAGATGAGCGGCTTGACCTGGGTGTTGAGGCGGTAGGACATGAGCTCGAACTCGCCGTCCGGGGGGATAAAGGAAATGGTGCGGTCGTTTTCGAAGCGCGACAGCCGCACGCACTGGTGGAACTTGACGTCCTCCATCTCAATGGCCTTGCCGCGCGTCGTGCGGCCGGTCGTCTCGAACATGACCTTGTCGTTGAGGCCCAGGCGCAGCTCGGGCATGCCCGACAGGTAGCACTTCATCTTGATGGACCCCAGGATCTCGGAGCGCAGCACGTTGCCGTTGGCCGACACCAGCAGGTTGAGCGACTCGATGACGTCGAGGAAGACCTCGTTTTTGCGGTAGCGGATGCCCTCGGAGCGCCAGGAGACGGCGTTGGTGACGGCAATGGGTGGACGGGCCTGGATCTCGAGCTTGTGAGACTCTTGTGTAATGTACTCTTGCAAAATCTTGCTCTCGGTGGTCTGCGGGTAGCCAAAGTCCATCATCTCGTCGAGCAGCTCGTAGATGATGACAAAGTTGTCGCGAATCGACTCCTCCTCGAGCGCCTTGAAGTACTCGGTGAAGACGTCGACAATCTTGTGCAAGAACAGCAGGATCTCGGCAGCATTGGTGTTGCGTTTGGTGAGGGCAAGGAGGTAGAGGTTGTTGTGGCGGATGTAGAGGTAGTTGATGCCTTCGTGGGAGAAACACGGAGGCACGGCGGACGACTCCTCTTCGGCTTCGCTCAGCAGCACCGGGAACTTTTCAACGGCAGACATGGGGATGTCACCACGGTAGTTGCGGGCCAGGAGGGTCTTGCCCTTGAGGTCGAGGAAGAAGACGGCGGACGCCATGGTGGGCAGATGGCAGGCAGCGCCGGGCCGGAGAGGCGGCGTCGCGACGGCACAGGGGCCGATTTAGGAGGAAGAGGGGAGAGGAGGTTGATAGACTTGAGGCTATTGATAGGGAGTTCAAAGGAGATGCACACAGGACAGTCGGACTATATTGTAATTAGTCTGGCCAGCTTGGGAACAGAGCCGTCGTCGATGGTCGTTGAAAGTCGGGTTCCGCATACGAGAGTTGTGGCCACAATGCGGTGACGTTTGGGCCTTTGTCGTCAAAAGGGGACCCAGGCAGCTTAGTTTGGCGATGGTTGGCGATGGTTGGCCCTTCAGCCAACTTCGTGTCTGTCAACCAACCAGCCAATCTGCGCCACTTGCTACTTGCACCTTACCCCCGGGGCGGCCAGGCTCCTGCCCACAAGAAGCCCCTCGACCCCTCACCAAAAACATCAAGCACCGGCCCCCACCTCTCGGCGCCGGATTAATGTCTGAGCGGGTGCTATAAAGCTGTGCACGTGACGAGCAGAGCTTGGCAGGAGACAAACCCGCCTGCATATATTTGAGGCCAGTGAAAATCTTTGGCTTTCGTCTCTTCTCCCTCTCTCTTCTCCTCAACGCGTTCTCTAGACAGTGCAGTCCGTCTTTTCACCGTGCGACCTGACCAAGCATTTTGCGTGGTTCAAACTGCCTGCGGTCGTGGACGTAGTCTGCGATAATGCAACGCTGAGAAGGAGAGAGAATTTATTTTCAAACGGTTCCATTAAGAGCTGCCTGAGCATTTACACGCTGTTTTGCGTCCGTTGCTTTGTGCGGCGTCAGAGGAACCGGACATCTGAACGAGGACGATGGCATAATACTTTGAAAGAAGAGAGGTCTTGGTTCCTGACTCCGAACATCGATAGCGAGCATCGGGACATGAGACTCGACGCACGTGGACCTCATCGGCGTATCGCTGGCCTGCATCACAAGTGATCGTATACCGATCTGCATCGCATAGTCAGAAGCGTATCGCCATCACGATAGGGCCACGCCGGCAAGATAGCTACGAATGCAGCTCTACCACGTCAGCTCCCGACGGAGTACATTTCACGTGCCGGCGCCACCATTGCCCCGTCTGGGTTGCGTTCCGTTACAGAGCAAAGTCCTGCCGAGAATGAAACCGACGGGCCACGGAAAAGGATCGAACCGAAAGTCCTCGTCTCGATGGCCCAACCAGTCTCAAATGCTCCGTCCTTTGATTGCTTCTGGCAGGTTGCACCAGCACAACGGCGTAGCATACTAATCACGATGTACGGCATATTCTCTGCACGGCGTAATGCTCTGTACCGCGTCTCTCGCCAAGCGCACCATCAAGCCATCACCTGGATTCAGCATAACGCGGAGCATAAACGCCGCTTCAAGCCGTTCTCCGTATGCTCCTTGATTTGGCTGCATAAATGGGGAAAACCTATATGCACGGGTAGGTGCGCGCGCTGTTTGGTTCTTGATGAGCTCATTTTTCCTCATTGGCTTTTACACAGATTGGTGTGCCCGGCATGTGAAAGTACTTGGTGGGAAAAGGCAGGGAGCGGCAACACGGGCTATTTGGGGGCTCCGGATGTTAACTTACACATGCCGGAGGCAATATGGGCGTACAGAGCACACAAAACCTGCTCCCCTAGGTGGCCCCCTGCTGAGCTTTGAGAGGACGTTCGAGCGTTGACTAGCTCGTGTTGACATGCTCATGGGGCTCATTGTGGGCGTGGCTTCGCAACTAGCGACACCAGCATATTTTGCATGTGCTTTGTTCCCTGTGGCGCATTTACTGTGGATGAATACCAAAGTGCTCTTCTCGTCCCTAGTTGCTGATCTGGCTGACAGGATCCCCCGCCTCTTGCCCTCTCTCCGCCGGCAGATTGGCGTCTGTGGACAAAAACAAAGAAGGCAAATGCGTCGTCGTCTTATCTTCTTGTCCCTTGCGCCGTAGGTCGCTGTCCACGGACTGGCTCAACTGAGGATGCAGCGCAAGCGAGACGCGTAAGGGCGCAGTGCACGTATGACAACGTTGGGTATCATTGCTGTATTGCTGTCTGCCAAACGGCAGGCGTGCTTCGCTCCTCAGCCCGCATCTCTCGTATCAAGGAAAACGCCCAGCGAATCCGGAAGACAGCCGTGTGTGGTCCGTTATTTGGTTGCTTTCTCGTGAGATCCATCGTCTAATACACTGGAAAGAGGGCAGACTGGTACTGGATGCGGGCGTCGTGTGTTAGCGGCCCGCTATCAGTTTTGTAGGTGTGTAAGAACTTTGCAGGGGGCTACATGGCGGCCAAGCAGTTTCCTGGCAGCCTGGGCAGGCACAAGGAGATCGTGTTCCGGCAGAAAGAAACACAATACGACAGATTGACACAGCTCAAAGTACCTTTGCCAGTGCACCGTAGCGCTTGAGGGCAGCTTGCCGGACAATCCGATACGGACAGTGCAATCTTTGCGCGGTAATCTACCCGCTATTACGTTTTGGTTGGTGGATGGCCGACTTCAACCACAAACTCTTACCTTTACAGCGGACTTTCTCCCTGCTCACGGCGGGCCAGGGTCTCAGCTCGTGTCAGGTGCTGTTACTCAGTACGCTGGACCATCCGCCAACAGAACGTTACAGCAGTCACTTTTGAGCGAACGGACCTTTGTCAACTGCGGCGCGGGCCCCACATGGGAAGCCGTTGGCACTTGCCGGCTTCTGCTGTCTCTGAGAGTCTGAATAATAAGGGATGCTTAGCGACGAACTGTTGCACCTGCCCTTTCAGTGGCGTTCTGTGTCCTCGTCGCATCCAGGGCGTTTGCACATGATAAAACGTAGTCAAAGAAACGGGAAAGAACCGCACTTGCCCCTCGCTGAATCCGGCCTAGTGCCCCAACACAAATAGTGAGCCCGGCTACTGGATTTTGGCATCTCCGGCTGCAGACTGCTGCATACTGCAGACCTGGCCATGCCCTGCTGCCCTGACACCCCTAGTCGGGGGGGCCACAGCGCAGTTGCCCCCCTTTTCGCCAACAAGCCCAGCGCAGCCACGGCAAAGCGCCCCAGACAGGCCCACCTTTTTGTGCCTTTCCTTTCCTTGTCTGGGCGTTTGCACGTGCAAGTGAGAAACGACACTCCCAGATTGGGATTGGGTCCCAGACAAAGCCCAGACCCGTCAAAATGGGGGACAGAATTCCCCCTCTTACGAATACAACCACCACCACCGTTGGCTCTTTCCTCGTGGCTGCCCTTTCTTTTGAACCCCGTCTTGTCCCAGTTCCTACTCCCCCATTCGCACCTTCTGATTTTCTGTCTCAACGAGCAGGAACAGAAGTCAAAAGAATCCGACGAAACAGGGTGTCACATCCTCGCGCATTCCTGCACCCTCATACCTCCAACGAAACTGCGAAGATTTATGATTTGACGCCGACGACTCTGACGCTGTGAGCGGCTGGGCGCTTCGACTCATCTCCAGGCCCTGTATTTTTCAACACTTCCTGTTTGGTTCGACCTGCTCACGCAAAGAGCCTCAAACCTCGGTCTGAGCAGAGGAATATTATAGAGACATCATCGAATTCCCTTTTGACGAAGCGACCAACTTTATATTCTATTTCGCCAACGTCCCGATTGCCTCACCGTCGACCCCAACGGCTCGCTGGCTGACGCCTACGGCGTTCCTCCACTCGTTTCGGACAAAAGATTGGGGTCGCATTGTCATGCTTCGCAACACGAGGACATCTACCCGGTCGCTCGTCTAGAATCCTTCCGACGACAACGTCAATCGACAACGAGGCTTGATCGTCCAACGACCTTGCTTGCCCTCCTGCACGATCGACGAGATACCTCTTACCATGGCGCCCGCAAACACCGCTATCAGTGATGTCGCCCAACCTGGGGCCGTCAACTTTTCGCCAATCGACCGGAAGGTCCGCGACGTGCCGTCTTACTCGCCGCCCACCTACTCAACACAGAAGCAGACCCAAGAGACACAGTGGACACCACCCCAGACATCACCGGATGTCAAGGTGCTCCCGTTTCGCGAACTGAACTCCGAACTCCCTCCCATCCAGACCGCAGAAGCCAAAGCCCGCGAGCATGGCGAGTCACGGCATCGCACGTTGCCGTCCATCTCGTCCGTGACGGGATCCGTGACTGGGTCAGTGACGAGTGCGGCCGACTCACCTGCTGAAGCGCCTTCGGCAGCCGGTGCTTCGACACCCACCTTGACCAACCACTGGCCAAGCCTCAACCCTTTGACCGCGTACTATACCCCCGGCCACATCCAGTCGTCCGCAGAATCCCCTCTGCGGATGGATGTCGACGCAAGCAGCACGAGTACCGGCCCTGCCGGAGCGACGACGCCCGACCGGTACCAGGACGCCCGGGCGGCTAGCGTCAGCTTGGAAGACCCAGATGTCCGGATGGCGGCCGAAGCGCTCGGCGACCTGCGTGCCGACTTTGTCTCTTCGCCCCCGGCCCGCTCTTCGCCTCTTCCGGGCAACAACAACAGCAGCAGCAGCAACAACAGCAACACTTCTGAACCCCTCTTCTCCCTCCTTACAACATCGCACCCTCTCCTCGCCAAGACCATCGAGGGGACGACGTCAGCTTATAATACCTCCAAGAACCTGTCGCCGCGCTTCAAGTCGGGCGCCGAGTACGTCGAGGGCTACCTGACGCCCATTGGAAATACAATTGGCTCTGTCAGCCGGGTGACGGGAGTTGAAGGTGGTGTCCGGTGGTTCCTAGGAGGCCGCCGTAGGCACCAGCACCCCACGTCCGGGGAAGGCGAGTCCAGCAAGCCCAGCTTTTATAAGAGACGCAAGGTGGATCTCCGGCATGGGCGCACGACCAACGTCGCCGAGGCGCAGCACGGCCCGACGTCTGCGGCCAGCAAAAACGATACGGGGTCGCGCTCAGACGCTACGCCGGCGCGCGTTGTCCGCACCAGCGCCGAGCGCTTCGACCCCAACGAGGACCGCCGGTTGTCCATGAGCACGGTAGAAACTCTCCCCGCTTACGATGACCACCGGTCGCCGGACTACACCGAATCTGACGGCCCATCCTTGATGCAGATCGAATCCGCTGGCTCCCTGGACAGCATCGCGACAAACAACGGATCGCCTACCAACCAACAGCAACAGCAGGCGTGGCAGTCGCGTCTGATTATGTCGACATCCGGTCTCAGTGTCGCCATGAGCGACGAGAGTCTGCGCAGCCTCAAGTACTGCCTCAACTGGCTGCGGTGGGCTAACGGCAACATCGACAAGGTGATTGAGTCGCTGAAAACGGCTGTCGAGCAGTACGATTCGGCACACGCCGCTCAGGGCGAGGGCGAGGGCGAGGATGCAGCACAAGACGGATCCGCCGCCCGCACCGATGCCGCCAGCCAGGCGCAGCGGAATGAGCTGGCCGCACGCATTGCCTCGCTGCGGGGCGACCTCCTGCAGACACTGCGCGGCGCCGTCGACACCGTGTCCAAGTACGCCGGTGGTGCTCTGCCCGACAATGCCCGCGTACTGGTGCGCCGCCACCTGACCAGCCTGCCAGCGCGCTTCCGACTTGCCAACCAAGCCGAGGCATCGGCCGCCGCAGCCAACGGCGGTCGTCCGACCACCGACAAGGAGGTCCGCGAAGGTGCGCAACGCGTGCTGGTGCTTGCCAAGGAGGGCCTCGATATGATGTCGCAGGTGAGCGGCGTGCTCGATGGCACGATTGTGAGCGCCGAGGAGTGGTGCGAGCGGTTGGGCAAGAAGAAGCCGGGCGACAACCAGGTCTCGGCGGTGACGACACCCGTACCGGCACAGGGCGACCGCGACGTTGTCATGCAGTGACGTGGACGGCCGTGGTAGTATCCATCAACATTCAACATCTGTCTTCTTCATTCTAGCGATACCTTGATGCATCAACTTTTGCATCCTTCCATCTCTCACGTCATATTTTCCTTTCATGTTCTGTTTATTCTTCATTTTTTACTTCATTCTTTTTTCATTCCATTTCCATTCCATTTCATTTGTCTCTTGTCGTTTCTCTCCGTTTTCACTTCTTTTGTCAAGTCATACCCCTTGGTTGCTGCTCTTTTTGTCAATGGTCTGGCTTGTGTCTTTGGTTCTGTTGGGTTTGGTTTCCGATATTTGTCTTTTTCTGGAGCTCGCCGTACCTGTTTCCTGCTTCTTTTCAACTAATTGTGAACTTTTCTCTCTCAATCTCTCGCAATCTCTCGCAGCCATCTCGTGCTATTATGCGTCTTTATATGCTGCCTTTTCTGTTATTGGGTGCCCCTGCTTTGCTGAAATGTTTGACCTAGCTAAAGCAGCTTGTAAGCGAATAGAATGGAGCCAAAAGAAATATTTGAGTAAACCTACAAAAAACGTACTACGAACACTGTCAAGTCCCTTCATTCTCATCCAAGAAAAAAACAACAAAAGCAATAACTGAAACAAAAGGACTCCACGTGGCGCTGCACTATTCAAGACTCCTCTTTTTCGAATTCCCTTTCTTTTGTCTCCGCGCCGTAAACCTGCCTTCATTCCCAATCAACACTCGCTAAGGGTTGCTTTTCAGCCTGGCATGTCTTGGCTCTACCCACCTTCTGCCTAATTCGACTGCATATCACTCTTTGTACAGAATACATACAGCTGCGCTGTAGCCCAGGTACTCCGTCATGAAACCGTCGTATCTCGCACGTCGTATCTGTTGACCCTTTTCACTTCGGGTCCTTCAGTGGTTTCTTCCTGGTTCCGTTCTGCCTTACGAGCAGCCTCACCACCGTTCACGCGCTTCGCACTCGTCACCACTTTTTCTCTCATCGATGCTAATTGTCCACAGCGACCAAAGAGACCCAGGCTAAACTACCTGTGCCTAGCCTAGTGCAGGGGTTGGGGACAACAAAACCAAAAAAGAACGGGAGCTGAAGTTGAATTGACCGTTAATCGGCCATGTTGCCTAGGCTGGGACAAGGATGGGACGAGAATGAGGGGGATGTGAACCCCCAATGAGTGCAGGACTTTGTTGTGATGAGATTTCGACAAAAAAGATTGTAGCAGTCGCTCCTTCATTGCAGAGAAATGTTTAAGTACCATCGCTCTTTCCTTAAGCAGCTCCCCAGAAGTATCCAATTGCAGGCTGTACACCCTTCTGTACACGACGAACGGCATTACCAAAGACTACAACGGCCCTGCTATTCTCCTCTCTCCATCTTTAGCACCGCGTCTGTGCTACGACAGGGAGGCACAATGTCTACGACTGACAAACCCACCACCGACGCAGCGGCGGCCGCCATCGTCGAGGACGCCGACCGTGTCAGGCTGCCCGGCTTCGGCCTGCCGCACAGCAGCGGCTGGGTGGCTAACAAGGCCAAGTTCCCGCATGCTCTCGAGTCGGAGGGTCGCGGCAAGCTGAGCCGTGGCCTTTTTTTGCGCGAACGCCGCATGCTCGACTTCATGGGCAGCATCACCGATAAGCCCGAGTGGGAGCGCAAGGTGTTTGACGAGGAGATTGTGGGCAAGTGGCGTGCCGAGGCCATGGAGATGCCCACTGTCGACGACGACGACGTCTACATGTCGGATGACATGTTTGACTATGTGAGGACTGCCTGGCTGTACGCGAACAGCTCTTTGAATTACGGAAAGACAGACAGCTTGCTAACGCCCACAAGTGTATTGCCGAGCTCCGTGACAAGGCAGAGCGGCTCAAGAAGACGGGGTTCGTGACGACGTTCGACGCCGAGGTGACAATCGTCAAGTCGGACACTGCTGTGTCTGACGAGCTCGCAGCTGCCCTCAAGCAGTGCGTCGCCAAGCTCGAGGACGTGCCCGAGCGTGACAAGGACTGGCACCCCGGCTCCGATGACCAGGTCCTGGATCTGCTGCACCCGTCGCTGTACCCTGTCGTCTTTGGCGCCACGCGCGCTCTGACAAAGGGCACCGTACCGCTGGACGACTGCGCTGCTTACACAGGCCGTGGTGAGGTCACCGAGCTCTCCGACATCAAGCCTCATAGCTACAACCCGTTTGCCAACCACGAAGACCTGTACCAATGGCTCCCGGCCGACGTGACGCTGTCCGAGGACGGCTCTGCCAGCATTACCAGTTACATCAATAATCTGCACCCACGCGTCCACAAGGAGCTGTACGGCGTCCTCGAAAAGTTTGTGGCTGCGTCGGTTCCTCTTTGGGAGGAGGCCCTCACGCCCTATGGCGATCGCCGTCGCATCGAGCTGGACGCCACAGACGACGACGAGGACTATTACATTCCGGAAGGCATCGTCTACGAGATTCCACGCGAGGACGGAGAGGACGGAGAGGACGGCAAGGACTCCTCCGAATACGACGACGAAGAGTATAAGTACACCGATGAGTACCAGGAGTGGTGGTATGAACACCGCGTCCTTGAGTTCCGCGAGCCAAAAGAATATGTGCCCTTTGACAAGCAGACCGAGTCGGTCGAGCGTGTCCACCTGGCGCCCACGGTCGACACACCCAGCCAGTTCCCCAAGGGCCTGCAGGTCATTTTCAAGCTGGCCAACATCCACCTGACGCCGGAGAAGCCATCATACGGCGGAGGCAGCTGGCACATTGAAGGCACGCTGTCCGAGCGCATCTGCGCCTCCGCCCTGTACTACTATGACGAAGAGAACATCACGCCCAGCCAGCTATCCTTCCGCCAGTGCATCGACGAGCAAGAAATGATGATGATCCCCGCCCAGAGCATGTTCACGAGTCTGTTGAGCTACCTGGGTATTGACCAGTACGGCACGGCGGTGCACAACCTCGGCAGCGTGCTCACGCGCCCCGGCCGCCTCCTGGTCTTCCCCAACGTCCTGCAGCACCGCGTGGGCTCTTTTGAGCTGCAGGACGCCACCAAGCCGGGCCACCGCAAGATCCTGGCCATGTTCCTCATCGACCCGAGCCGCCGCGTGCTCTCGTCGGCCAATGTCCCACCGCAGCGCAAGGACTGGTGGTCCGAGTACGTCCATGAGACGCCGGCGCTCTCGCGTCTGCCGAACGAGCTGTTCTCGCACGTCATCGACCTGGTGGACGAGTTCCCTCTGTCCTGGGAGCAGGCCGTAAAAATCCGAGCCGACTTGATGGAGAAGCGCAGTGCGTTCACCGAAGACCAAGAAAACGAAATGAACGATGTAAGTTCACCCTCTCCGAGGACCAGACCCAACCAAGAGAAGTATGGAATACTGACACACTTCAGCACACTTTCTCATTCTGCGAGCACTAGAACGGCGACGCGAAGGTTGTGGTCATGACAATTCTCGGTCGAAGGAGCCATAGTTTCTTTGGGCTTCTGACGTTGGTGTATTTTCCGGTATTGCTGTCTGTTTGGTCTGAGCCTGGGGAATTATATTATACATACTTGCATAACAAATGGGTGCTATTGAACCGGAGGCCGTGCTTGTCTGCAGATGAAGCTGTGGTCGCGAAATGGAGGACACCATATGGCTGGCATGCGAGGGCATTTACATAATAAATTACCAGTTTCATGACCTTTAGCACCAATTTTGAATCCAGCCTAGCGTTTAAGAAAGCTTGCCCTAGCACGTGATGAGTCCACTGCCTGGAGAAAAGTGTGACCAAATGCCCTTGCCCCACTTTTCGCGCCCTTCCCTCTCCGCTTGAGCTGCAAAACGACCACCAAAAAAGTGCGGAACAATTTTTTTGCCCTGCAAAAAGAATTGGGGCTGGCGCCAAACGAATCCTAACCAAAATAGACGAGTGTGAAAAAAGTGCTTCCCGCTTCTCTCTCCCATCCCCCCCTTCGTAATTCCTCTCATTGACAACCAACGAAGTCAACGGATTTTTGACAAAACCCACGACAACAGCGAAGATGCCGACTCGTTTTTCCAAGACACGCAAGCACCGCGGCCATGTGAGCGCCGGTAAGGGTCGCATCGGCAAGCACCGCAAGCACCCCGGTGGTCGTGGTATGGCCGGTGGCATGGTACGAACAATCCCGATTCCAGGACGATGAGGCGAAGGAGACGAAGTTGATGAGGAAGGGGAACGATTCCGGAAGGGGACAGCCACAATAGAACGGGCCAGAGGTCTACGTTTGGAAGAACCAGATCGCATGCGTCCCGTCTGCGTCGAAAGAGCAGGCGAGCAGAGGGTTGAGAATGGCGGACTGGATGTGGCATCGAAATGAGAGGACGAAACGCTGACCGTCACCTTTACAGCACCACCACCGTACCAACGTCGACAAGTACCATCCCGGTTACTTCGGTAAGGTCGGTATGCGGAGATTCCACCTTCTCCGCAACCACCAATGGAACCCCGTCATCAACCTGGACAAGGTACGTGCGAACAGGCAACAAATGCCATTTGCGAAGCTCGGACTCGCCAATGGAAGCGACCAAGAAGGAAAGAAGGAGACGAGCACACAGCTAACTGGCAACTCTACAGCTCTGGTCGCTGGTTCCCGAGGAGACCCGCGAGCAATACCTGTCCGGCGAGAAGAAGGACACCGCCCCCGTGATCGACCTGCTGCCGCTCGGCTACTCGAAGCTGCTGGGCAAGGGCCGTCTGCCCGAGATACCATTTGTTGTCCGCGCCCGCTACGTCAGCAAGCTGGCTGAGCGCAAGCTGAAGGAGGCTGGTGCCGTTGTTGAGCTGGTCGCATAAAGTGGTTGATATCTTCTTTTTTATAATGGGATGCATCTTCTTTTTTCCCTTTGTCCTTTTCTCTCTCTCTCTTGCGCATGGGGGAAACAACAATCAAAAAAATAAAACGGACGACAGACGACGAGCCGTTTCTCTCCAACCAGACAACCATGACACCACAGGCGACACAAGATGCGTACGCGTTGGCTGGCTATACAGGAACGTACGACCAAACTGAACACGATTGCATTTGCGTCGACCTCGGATACCAGACGACGGGAGAAAGGGATGATGAATATGCCCAGACTCCCCTTTGGATGTACCATAGTGCTGCGAATTGGGGAAAAGGGTCTCAAAAATGGGATTTGGCGTTTACCGCGAGAGAATCAACAAAAAAAAATGAGAAATTTTTGATCATCTCTTGGTTCTATGAATTTCGTATCTCAGTAGTTGCTCATGTCGGCATGTCCCGTGCTCGATTTTTACGTAGGCTATTACCATCTCAATCCTATTTGAAAACTATTGCACTCGGCATTGTTCACATATAGCATCGACCTGCAACGACAACATATATCGGGACGTAAATTTATTGATCAACAACTGTACTTGTTTAAATGGAGAGGGTATTGGACACTGAAAAATCTAAAACGAGGATGCAAAAATGAGTGAAGAAGATGGAGGCCAAAGTCAAAACTATAAACAAAAGCCAAAAGGAAAGGATTTGGGAGAAGTATCAAACACCAAGAAAAGGTGAAAATGAGAAAGAACAACAAAAGCCAAACGTCCTGTATCGTTCCCACCGAGAGCTGAGACTTCGTAACTTTCATTTGCCAGACAGAAAAGAAGGAGAACAAAACAAGAACTGTGAACCTTTTTTCATAAAATCGTACCTCACTCGTCAATCGCCTTTTTCCTGAGGTTGTCCCCTGCCATGGTCCTTTCTGTCCTATCGCGGGAACCATTGCCCCCCTAAAACTCGCCGTCACCGCCACGGCCAACGGCAGCAGCGGTCCACAGCCCGACAAGGCCCCACCAGCTGACCTTCCAGCCACGCCACAGGCCCTCAACGCCCTGGCCCTGGCGGAACACGGTCTCGGCGACCTTGGTGTTGGCGCCGCTGGCCTTTCTCTTGGAGTTGGCCTTTGTCTTGTACGGCGACTCGCTCGTGGTCACGGCGGATGTGCCCTCCTCCCAGACAATGTGCGTCATGGTGCCGACGACGCCCTTGTAGACGCCGAGCGGGAAGATGGCCTCCATGGGGGTCATGGCGAGGGCCGCGCCAGGCGCCTTTGTTTTCAACACAGGTCCCAGGGCGCGGACGTACTCGGGCGAGCTCACAAGAGCGGCCTGGCCGCGGCGCAGCACCGTCTCAATGGGCAGCTTGACAAACAGAGCAAAGGACGACGAGCAAAACTTGGCAATGGAAAAGGCCATGGGGCTAGCATCCTTGTCAATCATAAAGCGGGTGCGCAGCACGAGCGGCGTCGACAGGGTGAGGACGGGGTGGATGAGAGAGTGCAGAATAGTGGGCAGCACGAGGACGGGCGAGCAGACGTAGGAGGGCAGGCTGCGCAGGAGGGACAAGGCGCGCCGCGGCTGGCGGCTGGTGGGTGTGATGATGAGGCGCGTGCGCACGAGGTCGAGCGGCGACAGGATGAGGCCGGTGGCAACGGCGGCGGCGGCAGCCACAAAGAGAGACGCCCAGGGGTAGGGCGAGGCAATGTCGATCAGACGGTCGACGTCGTCCTTCAGACCCAGGTCCGGCACGTTGAAAAGGGCGCAGAGCAGACTCCGCGACCAGTTCTCTAGAAGCGACTGCACCACTGTGTAGAGAAAGGAGGCATTGGTGCCCTTCCAAACGCCCCACGCGCCTTCTTTCTGCCACAGCTGCGAGATGACCTCGAGGATAGAGTCGGGCTTGGTGAGGACCAGATGGTTCTCGGTGAGAACCACAGACGCCCCGTTTGTAGCAGAACCGCTAGGTGTCCTAGCCGTACCACCGGGCGAGGTCTCATATGGCGATGCAGCACGGCGCCTCTGAGCCGGCAATGGGTAGAGAGGAGATGACGTGTTGGGAGCGTTGGAGGTAAAGTAGCTGGGCTCGTCGGGATCGGAGTCGTCGTCGGCAAAGTGGTTGCTGAACTGCAAGTAGAGGAAGAGGAGACTACGTTAGCTGGCAGACCGGAAAGGAAAATGAAGAGGGAGAGGGTGAATTGAAACGCACCGGGTCGTCTGCTGTGCTGCCATCATAGCCAAATGAACGCTGCGGGCGGCCGGCCTCTGGCTCGATATTGACCACGGGCATCGGCAGGGCCGATTCGGGTGCCAAGACATCTAGCGGTGCTTGGCTGCGGACTTGCAGAATGGTCTTTGCAACCTCGAATGGCTGTGCCATCAGCACGGATGTGTAGCGCCAGAGCAGCTCGTCAACGACATCCTTAGCAGACTGCACGACGGACGGCGACGGCTCAGAAAGGTAATCCTTGTAGTCAAGATCGGCAAAAATATCGCGCGCCTTGTGCGAATAGGGCGAGGTGCCGTTGCCGTGAGGCAGCTGGCGGCCATAGGATGGAGGAGACGCAGCGTTTGCAGTCTCGTTGGTGCTTAGGTCGTAAAGGTCGTCGCCAATGGACGGTGGAATGTAGTAGGGCCGCAGGGGGTTGACCCCTTCGCCGTGCGACGCCATGTTGGCCGATATTGTATTCGATGTGCAATTGATGTCGTCTGTCTTGTCGGCGGGTGGTTGTGCCTCAAGACATTGTCGACATATCAGCTTGTTTTGAGGTGTCGAGATGCTTTGTTTCGCGGCGATGCTCGCCAAAAAGTGTTAGAGTAATATGGTCTGGCCACCGCTCCTTCCTTCCTGCCCCAGAATTATGTCATTAAAACTTTGCTACAAAATAAAATGCTAATTAAAAAAAAAGTGCAGGCGGCAGGAGGGGCACACATACCCACGCCACCGTCTGCACCTGCCATCTGGTCTCCCAACCGCCTGGCAACGATCATAACTCGGAGATAAAGAGCATGTGCCCAGCGAAAGACAGCGAACGGGTTTCACTCACAGGCGCCACGAGGCGGCTGGAACACCTAAATTTACAGCGCCGTTAGGCGGGAAACGGTTGGTCGAAATTGCCCTGTCACTATTGGCTGGAAGACTCCTGTAAAACCCGCGGAGTAGCGAAAACAGGAAGTAAGAAAAAAAAAACCGATGCTAAAAGTTGATTGATGTCGCTTGTCACGTCGTATTATCTGTTGGTTGACAGCTCACTCCATTCTGCAAGGGATTTGCATATTGTCTGTTGCTGTTGTACAAAACGACGAGAAAAATAAAGGGGAAAAAGGAGCGAAATTACGGTGAAGAAGACAGAAAAGGAAGGACGGACGCAACGGCGGACAAATCTTCTGCTCTTTCCTTTAACAGTGACCCGAGTCAGAATTTGAGCCAAATCCAACCGTCTGCAGAAAGCGACTTCGGCTGACGACGGCTCTTTCCTTTTAAACTGCTCGACACACGCCACGACCCTTACTTCTTCCAATCTTCCTCCCTTTTTCCGTTCACAACCTCTCCCACCATGACAAGAGCACGATTGGTTTCTCAGGGCGTCGCCCGCTTCGCCTCCGGCCCTTGCGCATTCTCGTCGCGCACAGCGCCGGCTCTGCGCCAGTTCAGCTCTACGGCCCGTCCGGCACCGAGATCTCCGGCACGCACACTGGCAGCGTTTGCGAGCCTGTGTGCCTCGCCACTACGACAGAGCAGCGTTCAGTGCAGCGCGCGGCCCTTCTCGTCCAGCGCCGTCCGCGCCCACGGCCATATCCACAAGCCGAAGGAGGGAGAGGAGTCAGTCTGCCCCTCCCAATGCTCCCCAGAGATTCCGGGCCAATTGAATTCCCCTGCTGACTCTTCAGACTCTACGTTACATTTATTGACAAGGACGGCGATGAGCACAAGCTGGCCGTGGCGGCCGGCGACAACCTGCTCGACATTGCACAGGCACACGACCTTGAGATGGAGGGCGCGTGCGGTGGCTCGTGTGCGTGCTCGACATGCCACGTGATTGTGGAGGACGAGTCGTACTTTGACAAGATGAACGAGCCAGACGACGACGAGAACGACATGCTGGACCTGGCGTTTGGGCTGACGGAGACGAGCCGGCTGGGATGCCAAGTGGTGATGACCAAGGACCTGGACGGGCTGGTGGTGCGTCTGCCGTCGATGACACGGAACCTGCAGGCGAGCGACTTCCAGGCCAAGTCGGCGAGTGGGTAGTGGACAGTATAAGGGAGAGCATTGTATATGGATATGGATCATGTAGACCCCTGGTCATTTTGTCGGTTAGAGATGTCTGGGGCCGATCGGATGTCGGTTGACAGTGGAGGAAAAGCATTTGTACGACTATAGAATACCCTGACGACTAGGAAGCGACGGGGGGCAGGCCCGTGGACAAACGCAACTCATCCAGGAAACAAAACCAGGAATCAGGAACCGGACAGGACGAGCAAAACGAAATCAAACGAATGAAAGAATGACAACCCATACCAGAGGTAAAACCGCCATGCCTGTATTCCATGCATGCAAGAACTCTATGAGAACAACAGGAACTATGCAAAATGGGAGAATTCAAAACAAGAATAAAAAGAATAAAAAAAGAACAGAAATAACACCGGGAGCATGCTACGCCTCCTCCAGACCTCCCTTTTTTAACCCACCACCGCCCGACGCGATTAGGTCCAAGAAGCCCTTGCGGCTCATGTCCGTCACCTTGGCCTCGCGCTTGTCCATGCCAATTATGCCCTCCACCTTGGCCTGCTTCCTAGCCTGTGCAGCCTGGACTTGCGCAGCGCGCACCGCGTTGAACAGCTGCACTACACCGCGCTGCGCCACCTTGCGCAGCCGGCGCTCCGTCGCCAGAATGGTCGTTGTCGTCTCACCCACGGTGTCGACCTTGTCAGAGTCCGCACCTTCGGCCTGTGGCCGTGCCGTGGCAATCAGCACATCCTTGACACGTCCCCGCTCCAGCGCGGCACGCTTCTCCAGACGCATCTGCCGACGGGCCTTCTCTTCCAGGCCGGCATCGACGACACGGCGGCTCGACTCGCGGGCGTCGGCACTGCGGGCCAGCACGGGATCCGCACGGCGGGTGGACGACAGTTTTGTGCCGAGAATCTTGGACAGGGAGGTGGCAAAGGTGGCCGGGTCGTTGCGCTTCGACTTGGGCACGCCACGAGCGCCCTCGCCGACGTTGTCGCTGTCGTCGTCGCCGCTGCCATAGGCGTTGTCATCCTCCTCATCGTCATCGTCGTCATCGTCGTCATCGCCCTCTGAGTCAGTTGGTGCGTCTCGTGCGGCAGGGACGCCACGTTGTGACACTGCCAGCTTGCCCTTGGCTTTGGTCGGACTCGTCTTCTTCGGCTCTTTCTTCTTTGTCTTCTGGGCGCTGCCGCCGTCACTCAATGAGTCGAGCGAGTCACTGTCGTCTTCACCGTCCTCACTGTCGTCGTCCACACCGTCAAGGTCCATCTCGTCGTTCTCGTCCGACGTGGCACCGTCGTCGGCCAATGCGTCCAGGTTTTCCTCGTCCGAGTCCAGCAGGTCGACCGCCTGGAAGCCGTCGTCGCTGCCGTCGTCGTCGCCACCCTCGAGTCCTAGACTCGTCGGTGCCTTGAGGTCCTCGTTGTCATCGTCACTGTCGCCGCCCTCGATCGAGTCCGAGTCGCTGTGGTAGGCACTCTGTTGCCGCTTCCGCTTCTTCTGGAACCGGTCGTTCTTTAGCCGCGAGGCCTGGACCTCGTCGCCGCGCCGTTTTCTTGAGACCGCGCCAGACATTATGTGTATGTGTAGTTGGGAGAGACAAGTGCCTGAATTGAATGGAATTAGGTCGAGTCGTTGCTGTCTGCTCGGTGCAACTTTCTTTTTTACACGATTTGATGGTGCATGGGCTGCTTAAACTTTTTTTTAGATAGTGTAGATACAGACGGCAGAATCCCGCCCAAAGTTTCTGTAAGCGGTTTGGGCGGTGTGCACTCTTTCAACATGTCTCCACTTTTATGTCACTGCTCCCAACGTCAACGCAACAGGTCGCGACTTCCTTCTTCACAATATTTTGTTTTGATATATTTGGAAAGAGCAGATTCCTGGTTAATTTCAACGCAGTGGCTTCTACAGGAAACCCGACTATATACAAAAGCTGTGGCGATTTGTCAAGCGCTGCTTCGGAGCCCGTCAAGAGAAAGGCCAAGCCGGCCAAGGTCGGCTTATCCAGCAGCCCCACGAGGGATGACGATGCTTTCTCTGATGTGTCTTCAGTGGTTGCTTTCTGCTGGGCACTCCGTCTACGTCTTCTCAATTCCACAATGAAACGGTCTATAGACGGTGGAAACAGAATAAACGCTCGTCCATCTATTTACCAGCTCTCATCAACGACGAAAACTTTTACGTATTGTCGGCTGTTCTCAATACCCCCAAGTCGTGCCGTTCCGCGCACACGACAATAAATCCAAAAGATGCTTTGGTATATGAAGAGAAACGAGTTTAGTGGAAGAGTTGAGGATTGAAAAAAGCAACATATTTGTAATGTCAATGGGATAATACGGAGGAAATAAAATGAAAGTTATTATTTTTCGTGTATGTAATATCTTTAATTTCTGTAAATTATATCAGATTATTTCTGATTTGTTTTAATATAATTTATAAAATATTCTCCCAGTCTTTTGCTTCGACCAACTCCATACATCATCTCTCCTACGTTTTTCTTTTATACTATAACATATGTTGAAAAGTACGTCTTCTACTTTAACAGAGGCTTCATCTGTTGAGTCATCAATAACCTGTTGTATTTTCGTAATCCTCCACAATGTGCCAACGTCACCAACCCAACTTCACTCACTCAGCAACAACACAGAAATACACAAAATACAAAGTACCAAGATTAGACAAATATAGACCAGATATCACCATGGCCTTCAATGCGTCTCACGATGACCTAAGAAGGGTCAGATGGACAGCGATGCATCAGCGCCTTGGGCTGGCTATCGTATCATCTCCTCAATATCTTCTTCCCATCTGCTTCCCGTGCCATTTCACTCTACATTATATCCGTTCACGGTTTGCTCCTGTATAGTGTTATTATCTACGTGGACCTACCGGTCTATTCATACGTCAATATGTCTGAAAATATTCCCTCCGGCGACACGGCTGCTGAACTGCAACCGTCGATTGCAGCGTCCAAAACCAGCAACATTATCACTGATGTGTGTCTTTTGTCGATATTGACCTCGGACGCACCGATAACGATAACGAGAATGGCGAACCTGTCGATACCCTCGGCCCCTATCCCACAGAGGAGGAGCTGAAGACTCTCCGCCGCATCTCTGACAAAATTCCCCTGAGCATCTACACCATGACGGCCGTCGAGTTCTGCGAGCGCTTCTCCTACTATGGTGTGATGGTCGTTGTCACAAATTTCGTGCAATGGCCAATGCCCGCCGGATCTCTCACGGGCGCTGCTCCTCACGGGCAGCCGGGCGCCATGGGCTTTGGGCAGCGCGCCGCGACCGCCATCACCACCTTCAACGTCTTCTGGCAGTACTTTATGCCCCTGTTTGGAGCCTATGTTGCCGACACCTACTTGGGCCGCTTCCGCACCGTGGCTCTGGCGCTCGGCATCGACATCATCGGCCACTGTATCCTGCTCGTCGCTGGGCTGCCGCCCCTCCTCAAGCAAACGCCAGCCACGGGTTCCCTGGCAGCCCTACTCTTGGGAATGCTCATCATCGGCGTCGGCACGGGCGGCTTCAAGCCCAACATCAACCCGCTGGTCGTCGAGCAGGCCGTGTCGTCCCACATGTTTGTCCGCGTATTGCCCAAGACGGGTGAGCGAGTAATTGTCGACCCAGCCGTCACATCGTCTCGCGTATTCCACTATTTCTACATGTTTATCAACATCGGCGCCCTCTTCGGCCAGGTCGGGATGGTGTACGCGGAAAAGCACGTTGGCTTCTGGCTGTCCTTTATGCTGCCGACCTGCATGCTGTGCCTCTGCCCGCCCATTGTGCTGTTAGGCCGCAAGCGGTATGTGCGTGTGCCGCCGCAAGGATCGGTGCTGAGCAAGGCGCTGCGGCTGTTTGTGCGGGCCAACCATGGACGCTGGTCCGTCAACCCCGTGAGGACCTACCAAAACCTGAATGACGGCAGCTTTTGGGAGCGCGTCAAGCCGTCGCAGATTGCCGCGGCCGACGGCCCGAGCTGGATGACCTTTGACGACGCCTGGGTCGATGAGGTGGCGCGTGGTGCCAAGGCCTGCGCCGTCTTTGCATGGATGCCCTTTTTCTGGCTGTGCTACAACCAGATGACAAGCAACCTGATCTCGCAGGCCGCCGTGATGCGCCTGGACGGCGTGCCCAACGACGCACTGCTGGCCATCGAGCCCGTGTCGCTCGTTGTCTTGATCCTGCTGCTCAACGAGGCCGTCTACCCGCTGCTGCGCCGCCTCCGCATCCACTTCACGCCCATCAAGAAGATTGCCGTCGGCTACGCGGTGGCCAGCGCCGCCATGGCCTATGCCACCGTCCTGCAGTACTTCATTTACAGGGAGAGCGAGTGCGGCAGGTATGCGTCTGGCAAGCTGCCCAGTGGCGAGCGCTGTGCCAACGTGAACATTAGCGTTTGGGCGCAGGGCGGCGCCTATGCACTGTCGCTCGCCGAGATTTTGATTTCCACGACCTGCCTCGAGTATGCCCAGTCCAAGGCCCCCAAGAACATGCGGTCCATGGTCCAGGCTGTCTCGCTGTCGATGAACGCCATCTCGACCGCCCTGGGCTTTGCCTTTGTCGCTCTGTCCTCAGACCCCAATCTGGTCTGGAACTACGGTGCCACAGCCGTGCTGGCTGCCGTCGCAGGTACGGGCTTCTGGTTCACGTTCCGCGGCCTCGACCAAGAGGAGGACCACTTGAACATGCTGCCCAACGAGGTGCTCAATGGTGTCTCGCAAGCAGAGACGCAACAGCAAGCCAACGAGAAGGTGAATGCGGCTGCTTAACGAGGCGGCGCAGAGCACATGACACTCGACACTTAACCATTTTTTTTTGTTCTTCTTCTCTCTCTCTCTCTCTTTTCAAATGTTTTCGCACTATTGAAAATGTATTTGTGTGCCAATAATAGAACCAATAAAACAACTAAATTGTACTGCTGAGACCAAAGCGGACAGCTGAACGTTAAGAGCCGCATCCCGACTGCGACTGTAACGCTGCTGTCGCGGGTTAGGCTGCAAAATAATGGCCTTAGAAAATTTAAACTTCGTGTTGTTGGTGTGAAGGACTCCAAAGAGCCACTCAGGGAACATCAAAGGCAGAGCGGCAGCATGGAACAACGGTACTGTACGTTTTGTTTTCAGCGCACACTTTGTTCTTTCCTCTCTTGTGATCCCGTGAATGCACGGTCCTGGCTTCATGGTTGTCGTTCGATCCTTCCTGGTTGCTACGAGGTGTACTGAGCCGTTCCTGCCTTCATACACCTCTTAATCTTTTCTGGTCCTTCTCTTTTCGTGTCTTGTATTCGCCTCATTGGTGTGTCTTTCGCTCCTTCCTGTGCTTGAGACATGCAAAATGCCTGTTTTTATTATTAGAACCAGGCTAACCCGCCTCCGGTCTTCACGTGTCCCATTTCGCATCCACACTCTTTTGTCTTTCACATTCCATCCATGAGGCTCGGGACGGAACTTCCCATCCACAACGCCGTCTCAACACTATCCAAGCGCCATTCGAGAGCCAAGCTCAGCCCTCGGACACCACCAACTTCGAACTGCCGCCTTGGGCACTTGAGCACATGCGGGAGGCAGTGCTCTCAAAAGCGCAGCTCCTTCAACCTCCGGCGCGACGCCAAGTTCTACACCAGCCAATAGACTGTTGCGACCCGTTTAACAGGCCAGCAAAGGCACTGAGCCTTTTCAAAACAAGGCAATACATGGACACCAGGTTTTGTAAGCCTAGAACTGCTGTGCGGGTCGCCTATTGTTGACTATCTGGAAAAATATCAGGTGCAGATTTGACAAACCGAAAACACCAAATAGCAATCGTCCAAACAGACGCGGGCTCGAGTCATGAAACGTATCAGCAATTCCATTTCAGACCATTCTCTGATCCTCCATGACCAGCATATATTGTCCCTTGAGCAGTGCCAAGACTCGATGCGGAAATGAAGTGGCCGCCTCTTGCAGGTGCAAATCCTTTTCTGTCGCGTTTTTCAACTTTTTTGTCTCCAGCCCCATGCAGCCTGTCAGCAGTAGGGTGTCATCAGACCGCTTCACGCTGTGACAAATTTTCGAACCCCCCTCCCCCTTTCCCGGCTCCCATTTCTGAGGCCAAGTTTGGGATCCTTCCCAAGGTTCTTACCACGCCCCCTTCCCGTTCCCCACAGAGCCTCTTGCTGGGAGGCCCCTGCTCGACCTACCAACGCGGCGAATCACTACGAAGTAAACAAGATCCACCATCCGTCGCGGCACCAGGATCAGTGGGCAGTTGGCGAAACAGGGTTGGGAGGCTGGCAGGCGGCTGTTGGAGAATGGCGACGCGTTTGGGGTTCAAATAATAGCCCCAGTACGGAACACTCCGTACAAAACCCTGAGATGTCCTCTCTGGTAGTCTGGCCTTGGCGATTTTCACCATAGAAAAGAAAGAGACGAAGACGATATGGGCGTTCTTGTCCTACATCGAATCTTCAGAACTTCGTTGTGTCGCAACCCCAAATAGGCTACCCCTCACCAGCTCCTCTTCGCCGTGGCATTGTGATGCTATCGGGAAACAGCATCCAGCATCACAGTATCACGGTATCCCTCCTTTCCCGCATCTAGCAACACTGTCTTCCCGCAACTCGTTTGATTTCACCTTCAATTTAAGGCTCTGCGACCATGTCAAGCAACAGCACGAACAGCACGTCGGCAGCCGATTCGGGCGGCGGCTCCGGCAAGTCGGGTAGCAGCTCTGAGTTGATTATCGCCATCGCCGCGTTGGCCATTTCCATCGTCGCCCTGATCATTGCCGTTCTCCAGGCTCTGCAACAGTACTTTAGCTCTGCCGAAGGTTACTCGTCGTGCAACGAAAAGATCATTGGCGGCTGGTCCAAATTTACCAAACGCAAGCTCATCGCAACGCAATTTCGCTTCGAGGTGCGCTTCCGGATACCTGTTATATTTGTTGCGCCGCCACAAAACGCATATGGCCCGCTGGGCGACGACGATACAAAGGAGATTGTATATATGGACGGTTCCGTCGAAAACTACCGCAAGACGCACACGTGGACGCCAGAAGAGTTTGATATCAAGCAGAGGGCCAAGCTCAAGGGCACCGACACGCGCGATACGATCCATACCGCCGACAACGAGATGACCACCTGGCTTGCGCTCCTCATGGCGATTCAGCGCATGGAGCGTGAATCGCGTGAGTGGCAGGAACGCATCTGCACTCCGTACGTGCCGATTGCGCCCGAGGAAGCGCAAGACCGCCACACCATGGCGGTGGGCATGCAGGAGAAGACGCGGTCGTGGGACACAATGCCCGACGGCCTGAAGAAGCCCTATGCTACTACGGCCATGTGTCACATGGTCGAAATCATGGCAATGCTTGGCATCTACTGGAAGGAGTTTGACCGGAGCAAAAACCTGTACCGCGCACAGGGCAACGGCTTCCTTGTGACTGGGTCTTTGGTGCCGAACCTTGGTGTTGCGTTTACATTTGAGAAGGTCGGCAAGACTTGGTTCCAGGAGAACCGCATCGTGCCGCATGACAGCGTCAAACAGCTGTGCTTTGGCTTCTGCCCGACCATCTTCCAGGCCGGCATCAAGACACCGCTCTACACGGACGAGCCGAAAGACGAGGGCACGCTGCAGCTGGGCACGCCCGCCGAAGTGGCCGAGACCCTCGTGTCCTTTGGCTGCAACACGAACACGGTCAACTACTTCCGCCTCGGCAATGAGAACACACGCTACTCGCATTTGTTCCCCGTCACCTTTGAGATGCTGGGCATGGTCGGCGAGGCTATGCAAATCCACCACACCGCTTTTACGATGCTTCCGAACCCAACCTACTTTACGTGGAACAAGTCTGCATTTTCGCTCGTGGGCTTGATGCAAGCCTTGGGCCGGTTGCTGGATGAGGCCAATGTGGAGGAAAACCTGCTACCGCGCGGCTCGCGCCTTTCCAGTCTCCGCAAGGAAATCGATTCTGTCATCGCCGCGGCGACCGAGGACGCCATCGTCAAGCGTCGCAATGACATTTTCCAGGCTGACCAGCGCAAGACGGCCGAAGTTAAGAAGATGGCCGACGCTCGCAACCATGCATTGCGCAAGCGAGGCCCTCCTCGCGCCAAGCCGGCCCAGCCATCGGCCCTCTCCCGTCGCCTTCAGAGATTCCGGCACCGCACAACGAAGACACTGATTCGCCTGGGCGTCATACCGGACCCCAACGCCGTGGCCCTCGCAAAACACCAGCGCCAACTTTGTCCCGACGTACAGGCTCGCGAGACGTTCCCGCGCTACTTGGAGACACTGCACCATGCGATCAAGCGGTGTGACCTGTTCTTGGAGCGCAACTACGACCTCGTGCAGCACGTCTTTGCCCTGCACCTACAGGAGGTACTCTGTTACCTCAATTCTCGCCCATATAGCCCCGACGACGAACCGCACGACACGCCCGTGCCCAGCGTGGGAGGTCCTCAGCAGCGTGGCGGCAACCAGTCGTCACCCGCAGCCCACCATGGCCGCGGCCGGCACGAGCCGCATGCCGCCCAGACACCGCACACGTACACGCCGCCGTCCGACAACACTGAGTACTACAACGAACAGTACATCCCACTGCACAGCATTGACACGGCGTCGTGGACCTTGCGCCACCGTCTGCTCATGCGTCTCTACGTCACCTTTATCCGCAAGCGGATCGCGGCGGTCCCAATTCCTGACGCGTTGTCAACGTACACCCAGGTACGCCGGGGCCGGGAGACGGCGATTGAGCTCGCACGCCAAGACTCGTCGGGGCTGTCGGCGCTTGCCGAGGTGGCTGAGACGAAGTCTGGTAGTGCCTCCGCATCCGCCAAGTCGACGAATCCGCTGGTGGCTGCTGTGTCTGCCCTGTCGTCGGCGGCGGCCTCGATATCGGCCACTGCATCATCGTCGACCGCTCCATCCACGGCTTCGCCCGCTGTTGCGTCACCAGAGTCACCTGTGGAGGCACCGTCTTCGCCCACGGCCTCGCGCGAGGCGCCCCCCGGCCAGTCGACCACCGGCGCCAATGCAGCGGTGGCCGCGCGGGAGCGCGAGAAGGACACGTTCACGCGACCGACGACGGTGCGTGATATTGAGAACATTTGGTTTACGCTGACGTTCCGGATGATCTGCTGGCTCATGCTTCATGACTTCCACAAGAAGGACGTGCAGATCAGCAAGAGCGACGTGTATGATTCGCGGCTGGCCGTGTACATTCTGTAGCGGTGCAGTACAGAGTCGGTGTAGCTGCGGGAGAAACAGAAGAAAAAAATGCTTGGGAACTAAAAACCGGAGTCTGGCACCGTGTAAACACAAATGGGATGTGAGACCAAGTTGTCACCGCTGTAATTATGTCTTTCCTAATATACTGAAAACAATTACCCTACGATGCATGCGCCCGAGCTCCGCCTTGAATTATTGTCCGGCAAGGGGACGCTGGTAGTACACCATACTGTCTTATTTTTAAAACGGCAGATGAAAGTGTCCTGCGAGTCGGAAGTCGCCCTGTCTTCGGATTTAAATCGCCTACATGCAGTCTTTGCTGCAGGACGGCTCGGCGATAAAATAAGGCCCCAGGCTGCACTAACAAAGCGCCCGACCTACAGAATACAGCAGATCACTTACACTTCCGGCTTCGACGCCGCGTCATGGCGACTACCGGGCGACAAAGGACAACCAACTATTATGCATGCGGTTTGAGGCGGGCGCATACCATTCGATCCTTTGAATCCCTGGATGTGTTGCCATAAATGGCAAATGGGCATGGCTCCGAGAGACAAAGGGCATATGTCCGACGTCCGACGTGAGATTTAGGACGTAGGAATTTGTTTCTATAAGAGTTGACAGAAGTCTTCGTTCTGTCCGAAGCTGTCTTGATCTTTACTTTCCCTTGTGTCCTCTTCTGTATCCCATTCAAGCCGCTTGCAGACTGTATCTTACCTTTCAAACAACAGTACCTCAAACACCCACAACATTATCATGTCGAACCAATACCGCCCTGACTTTGTATGTTTCTTCTGTTTCTACGCAGTGCGTTCCTCGTTGTGACTAACATGCCCTTTTCTCTCTCACAGGAAAAGATGGTCGCCGAGCGCGCCGCCGGCTTGCACCAGCATATCCTCGCACTGCCCGCTGACCAACAGGCCGCCTTTCAGAGCGACCCAAAAGCTCTGCCTGCCGCCATTGAGGCCTATGCCCGCGAAAACCGCGTGCCCATGCTCTTTGGACCGGCCAAGATGGCCCAGGCCGCCGCTGCCTTGGCCGCCATGCCCGTCCCGCCCCGCACCCTCGTTGAGTTTGGCGCCTATGTCGGCTACTCTGCCCTGCGCTGGGTGACACTTCTTGAAGAAGTCAACAAGGGCGGCGTGGGTGCCGACGTCCACGTCTATACGTTTGAGCTCGACCCGGCCAGGGCCCAGATCGCCCGCGATTTTGCCAAAGCGGCCGGCCGGGCGTCCCAGATTACCGTGCTTGAAGGCCCCGGCGATGTGTCTCTCAGCAAACTCGTGACCGATGGTGTCCTCCCGCCCGGTTCGGTCGACGTCGTCTTCATCGACCACTGGGAGCCTCGCTACAAACCCGACCTGCAGCTGTGCGAGTCGCTCGGCGTGCTGCGCGTCGGCTCGCTCATCGTGGCCGACAACACCGACTACCCCGGTGCGCCCGACTATGTGGCGTACGTCAAAAACGGTGGCAGCGGCGAGCCGGGCGCTGTCAAGTTTGAGACGACCTCATACGACGCTGACAGTGCGCCGGAGCCGCCACAGAAGCGAATCGGCGGTGGGTTCGGCGGTCCTGGCCGGCCCGGTGGTGGTGGGTTTGGTGGTAGCCCGTCGGTAAGCAATCATCTGGTGGTGGTAGTTATGCTATAAAACTCCCTGCTAACTTTCTTTTTTTCCAGAAAATTGTAGAAGTCACAAAGGTGGTGTCTCTGGGATCGTGAGGGAGTCGTGAGACGCGGGTTATTCAACCATGCGATGCTGAAATGTTGCACTTGACTTGTTAGGCATACTATCGAATATGATAAATAAAAGAATTGAAGTAAAGACATGGCCTAAGAACCTGGAAATTAAGGAAGTGGCAAACTCACATTTTCAAGTTATCGGAAATTCCCAAGCTCACTGCACCTCTGCCAGTATGCATAGCAGCTCGCGAAACATCCACAGTTGGGCTATTTTGCCAGAACGTCTACGCTACGTATCAAGCTCGTACCAAAGCTGCTGTCAAAGCTTGATCTGGTTGGCCAATGGACATGCGCATCTCGATCCGCAAAGCTAATCGCGGCTAAATAGCTTCTGCCAGCTCTCAAAACCTCCACCTTTCCTCAAGACATAGCCTACCATTGATAGTTCCATTGAGTCGTAGTCACCGCAGGTCTTCCTTTCCAGACAATTGTCCCCTCCCTCTTCCTCGCTACTCACCTCCCAACAGCACCATGCCTACGTACTGCATCTTGGGCACGAACCGGGGCCTCGGCCTCGAGTTTGTGCGCCAGCTCGCCAAGTCTCCAGACAACACCATCATCGCCACCGTGCGGCCCAATGCCGACCGCACCGACCTCGATGCCGTCGCCTCCCCCACCACGCACATCGTCGAGTGCGACGTGTCCAGCGTCCAGTCCGTCCACATCTTTGCCAATCAGGTTGCGCGCAACGTCCTTGCCGATAGCACGGGTCCCTCCCATACCAAAATTGACTTTTTGATCGTCAACGCTGGCATCAACGGCACCCCGCCTGACCAGGACAGCCTGTCGCTCAACCCCGTCCTGCTCACCGAGCAAATGGCTGTCAATGTTGTCGGCCCGGCCAAGGTCGTCGAGTTTTTGGTCGACCGCGAGGCTCTGGCGCCCACCGTGCGCATCCTCAACATGACGTCGGGTCTCGGCAGCCTGGCACTGAGCGCCACCATGGAGCCCCGCAAGAGCATTGGCTACAGCCTGACCAAGGCCGCCCTCAACATGCTGACGGTGCACCAGGGCTACGACGTGCGCGCGCGCGGCTTGTCGCAGGCCGTCGTCATTGCCATGGACCCCGGCTGGGTCAAGACGCGGCTGGGCGGAGATGGAGCGCTGCTCGAGCCATCGGATTCCGTATCGGGCATGCTCAAGGTGTTGCACGGCCTGAAGGACGAGGACAATGTTACCTTTTTTGGCAAGGACGGCGAGCGGAAACCGTGGTAAGGTTTCCGTGACAGGCGTGGTATTCTGGTTCCATTTAGTAAACGATGAGCAGCGAAAATGGAAAACGACATCAACCTTTTACCAATGAGTCGGCCAGGGACAAACGGTACTGTCTTTTTGAGTTTCACTGTGATCATAATGTGGCAGTATTACGAGGGAAACGATGGATGGTATCGTTTTTGATAAGAAAGGTGATGAACACATTGCAATGGTATCCAAAGGGAAGGAAACCATATGTTGTTCGTTTCGGAAGCGACGATGTACGTCCGCTGTCAACAAGAGAAAGAACGGCCGGGACCAACGTCGATATCTGGAAGGCACAGTGTGGAAAATCTAGCATTCGAATTGGGCAGCTACATTGGGACCGTGAGGAAGGAGCGGATAACCCAAAAGGGCAGGATGCAAGTCATTTTGGAAGAAGCAGTGAGAACTGCTCTTGCAGTCATCGTTTGCCTCACGGCAAGCGCGTCCCAGCTCTGTGGTGTTGTCATTCAATACCAGGAAAGAGCGCTCCTGTTACACCTTTTTCTGTCGCATCTCAGGGAAAGCGCCACCAGAGGTATCTGGCGGTCTTGCCGCATCATCGTCCTGACGTATTCCACTGTCCACTGTGTCTCGTGCCTTGCTCCCTGCTTTTATCTTGTTTACCCTCCTCTCCTTTACTTCTTCTCTTCGAATATCCCCTCTTCTTAGCTTTCTTATACAGTTTCTCGCCGCCCATCCTACAACAACCGGCCGCTTTCATCCATATCCTTATCCTAGAGCTTCTACAGACAACTTCGCTGCAGTTTTCTTCCTCTCATTCTTCTCTTTATCCCCCTTCTCTTGTTCTCACTTCCTATGTTCTGTTTCTGGCCAGCGCCCTATGAACTCGGACCAGCTCGCTCAACGCGTCAGCACGTCCTACTCTTCTCCTTGGTTCAAGGTCTCGGTTTCCTTTGACTTCCCAACGTGGGGCTCAAAGGCCGAGGCAGACGCCAAGGTACCGGTCGTCAAAATGAGCTCAGCCGATAACATGTCAGAACTGCTGCTATCCAAGTCAGTGCTTGATACAGTACCCCTGGCAAGCCAAACTACAAACCCTACGACGTCCAACAAGCCGCCTCCACCACCCCCAGCGTCAACGGTCGACCGCGTGATTGCGATTGTGCGAATGGTGGTGGCTTTCATCACGGCCTTCCCGTTAAGCTCCTACTGCAATTATTTCTGTAGCGTCATTCACTGCTTCTTGCACTGCTACTGCTGGTTCTGCCATCACGTCTGTTGCGTCGTCCACTGCTTCTTGCACTGCTGTTGCATTTGCTGCCGTTGCTACTTTTGCTTCGTGAATCGCATGATCTCGCCTGCAAAGGACTTTGGCGTCTTTGCCGCCAAATGGATACGTTACTCTATAGTGGACATTATTACAATTCTGGCTACCACTACAACTGCAGGTATTGTGAGTTGCCTCCTTTATCCCATTTATATCTACTTGAAGTCAATTCCTCTTCTGCACCTATCCATGTCCCAATACGGACGCCTGACACTAATAAATAGCTCTTCCAGCTGTACCTCTCCAAACCGCCGGCGTCTCGCTCGTTTGCCGTCTTCAACCACAACAATGAGGTTGTCTATCCGCAGTTCGCCTTCCCTCTGCGCGATGAAATCATCCCGTCTTGGTTGGCCATATTCCTTGGTCCCTTTGTGCCGGTGGTGATCCTAGTGCTGCTTCAGCTGTACGTTCGTTCGTTCTGGGACGCCAACAATGCAATCTTTGGCGTGCTGTACTCGCTCAGCAACTCGGTCGTCTTCCAGGTCATCATCAAGTGGCTCATCGGCGGTCTCCGCCCTCACTTCCTAGACGTGTGCAAGCCGGACCTGTCACTCGCCAAAACGCTGCCTCCTCACAGGTCGGCTTACATTGCGTCCGGCTTCAACAACATGTACTACACCCGCGAGATCTGCACGGGCGACCCGCGCCAAATCAATGACGCTCTCTCCAGTTTTCCTTCGGGTCACACTACAGCCGGGTTTGCTGGGTTTGTCTTCCTCAGTCTGTACTTGAATGGCAAGTTCAAAATATTTTCGCATCAGCACACCCAGCTGTGGAAGCTGCATCTGTTCTACGCCCCAATTCTCGTTGCCACGCTCATTGGTGGTGCGTTGACCATTGATGCTTTCCACAACTGGTACGACATTGTGGCCGGAGCCGCGATTGGCACGACAATGGCCTTCAGCGCCTACCGCATGACCTACGCAGCCGTCTTTGATCCTCGCTACAACCACATTCCGCTGCATCGCAACCGGCCCTTTGACTACGATGCCATTGTTCCCAGTAACTCCGGCCTCACGTACTTGGACCACAGCAGGCTGTAAATAATGGGACAAACTCATCTGAATTTTGCGGCTCGACTATGTACACTCTGCACTCTTTGCAAAGTCGTTTTTCTGTGGTCTCGGTCTCTTCTGTCAAATTCGGAAGACTTTTCACCAATTTTTGGGGGGTTCCGGTTTACGAGAGGGCCGCGACAATGGAGTTGTACGCCGCCTTGGGCGCGTAACTGGAGTCGAAGAGCAGCGGGTTGCCCGAGGGTCTCCACGAGTCCTAGTTGAGTTTTAGCATAGGTTTGACTGGACAAACAGAGAAGCAAATGTGAACGAAACAATAATCCAGCAAAACTGAATAACGTACAGGATCGCGAACACCCCACACAGTGATACCGACGCAAGCAGACTCGGCAAGACAGCCCTTGGTGATCGTCGCGTAGTCGGCGGCATTGTTGCCTTGAATATCAAGCTCCGTGACGGCAACCTCCTTGACGCCAGTAGCAGCCAGCGCCTTGATGGCACCAGCCAGGTTGGCACCGCCGCCGGAGGTGATGTGGCCCTGCGAGCCAATGCCGTCAATGGGAATGCCAGCAGCAAGCCACTTCTTGACGTGTGCAACCATGCCGTTGGTCAGCTTGGCCGCGCTGGGGCTGTCCAGGTTGTAGTCGTTGATGTACAGCTTGGCGTCCGGGTCAGCAGCACGGGCGGCCTCAAAGGCAATCTTAACAAAGTCCTCGCCGAGCACCTGCGAGAACACGGAGTTGCGCAGCGAGCCGTCCTCGTTGAAGATCTCGTTGCACACGTCGTAGGCCCGGACCTTGCCCTTGAAGTGCGTCATAATGGTCGTGATGTGGCTCTGGATCGCCGACGTCAGCTTGGCCTTGTCGCGGATTTGGCTCACAAAGCCGGCCAGCTGCGAGTGCCACACAAACGTGTGTCCGCGGACGGTCTTGTTGTGCTCCGTCGCCCAGTTCACCAGGTAGTCCGCCTGCGACAGCGTAAACTTGCCCTGCTGGCTCTCTGTGCTCTCCCACTTCATGCTGTTCTCGGGCGTCAGCTGGCCAAAGTTGGCCTCAATAATGGCCGCGTTCTTGCCCGACGTCAGACGGCCCTGGTCACTGCACGTGCCGAAGTACAGCTTTCCCTTGGCCTTCATAAGCGCGTCGATGCTCTGGGTGGCCTGGCGCGGCGAGACATCGGCCGCGGGCGCGGCCATGGCGGCCAGCGGTGCCAGCAAAAGAAGGAAAGTGGACTTCATAGTTGGAAGGGATAAAGAATGATGAATTAAATGTTTTGGAGTTGGCAACAAAACAGACACAGACCTGGCTCGACGTCAAATCCAGGAACCTGGAGAACGCTCGTTTTTATGTCTGTTTGTCCTGAGGTCTCAAGCGAAGATTCCACCAGGCCCCTCACGAACACCTCCTAATTTCCGCACGCTTTCTAATGCCCGTGTAAATTATGTGTTTAATTATTTTTCCTATTAGGATAAACCGAACAATTCGCCCAAACCATATCCCAATGGCTGCGCATTTTGTGCAATGGTCGAGTGTATCGTAGTGGTGAAGGCTCTCTGAACGACACAAGTGTACCGGCGGGCGGCACACATTTACCTATGCCAAGACACTCACAATATACGAATGGGCCAAACCACGATCTGCAACGAACACATGCGCTTTCTGTGGTATATTGCGCATCTTCAAGATGTGGAGTAGCGAGGAGTGAGGTCGTTTCTCCGCTCTCCCTCATCCCGATGTGGCCGTCCTATATTGAATTAGCCGCAGGAACCAAACAAACTCCATTTATGATACCAATCTTCGGTTAAAGAGGGTAGCCTGGGCCAAGACTGCATTCAAATACCGGATCTGTGGGGTTGCATCGATAATAAAACAAATATCACCAATGGAATATGGGGCAGAGGGGAAAATAACAGAAACTGAAGGCCTAAGGTAATACAATCTCGCCGTCGGCTGTTTATCCCGGGAGTCGAATGCAAACTTAATATGGCTTCTCTAGCCGCCGTGCTATGCCGCGGAGCTTTGTACGCGTTCGGACGGAAGATGGCCATTACGCATGTACCTTGCCCAAGAAACACGTTAATAGCCGTCGATATTGCTCCCAAGACACTTAAAGAGTGCAGGGTTCATCGAGTTCTCCAACAAGCGGTGGCAAAAGTCCTCTACCCCGTACTTCTGCTCTTTTGCGAAGCTCACTGCGGGCCGTTAGCCTTAATGGTCTGTTATGCATATTTTCACATATTTGCCCCAATTTATTGAGAAAATAACCACTGCAAAGTATTGTGCATATAAATTATATTCATTTACATATTCATCAGTCTATCGTTGCTTGGTGATCATGGCGTTCGCACCGGCGCCTTTGCCCTTGACCAGTACGCCTGCCTTCTGCAGGATGCTGATGCAGTTCTCAATTGTTGGCAGACTCACACCGCTCGTGTTCTTGGGGAAGCGCACCGTCTTGAGCCACTCCCGCGCATCTTCCTCCGAGTAGTCCAGAGCCGTGCTGATGTACTTGACCGACTCCTCCGGGTTGGCGTTGAAGTGAGCAATGCCCTGGTCCAGCTTGCTGAACAGGTCCTGCAGCTGCACCTCCTTGTCAGGCGACCCAACCACGGCCGTCGACGCCACAATCTTCCAGCTGCTCCATGGCGTGTAGATCTCGCCGACGCGCTTGATCTCCTGGTTGTCGTAGTACCGCTTCGACGTAAAGTGCTCCCACATGAAAAAGTCCGCCGCGCCCGAGTTGACTGCCTTGCGCAGGTTCTCAAACGTGTTGAGGATCACCGTCTCCGAGAACGGCTTGTTGTCGGCCGGATCGGCCGCTGTCAGCCAGCCCTGCTGGTCCGCGAGCACATATCCCATGACAAAGCTGCCCGACCCAATACGCGACACACCAATCTTGCCGCCCTTCAAATCGTCGACAGACGCAATGTCGGTGCGGTCAAAGCCGCTCGAGATGGCCCAGCACAGCGGCGTTTCGACGTAGGTGCCGACAATCTGGTAGCCGCCCTGGCCGGGCTCCTCCTTGCCCAGTCCGGCCACCCAGCCCTCGGTCAGGCCGATGCCGACGTCAATGTCGCCTGCGCGCAGGGCAGTAATCATGTGGCCGGTACCGGAAGGGTAGGGGATCGTCTCGGCATCGAGGCCAAAGAGTGTCTTTGCGTAGTGGATGGGAGTCGAGAAGTGCTCGGGCACGTAGCCGACGCGCAGCGGGGTCGAAGAAGCCATGGTTATGTCGGCCTCGGTGAGGTAGCACACGGGCGAGAACATGCAGACGTCGCTGGCGATAAGAAACCGTGACAAAAGAGTCGGGGCGATTGAAGTCGATTAAAAACGCGTGCTTTCAAACGTGGAGATAGGTCGAGGGGTGGTCGAGCCGTTAAGTCCCTCTTAGCTCGGTTTGGCGGCGGCATGCCGACAAGCCGTTCAAGCCGTTGCGCCACGCGGGGCAGCAACAAGCGACGGCCCAAGGAACTCGCTACGATGCCAACTGTGAGGCTCTGTGCCGGCCTTGTTTCGCTGATCACCCGGCAACTGCATCGCTCTTTCCATCTGATATCCAGGATTGCTACTCCGTGCAGACACGATCGACTTGGAAGGACCTTGTGTGCGGGGTGGAAAGAGCGACCCCACTCGACACGGGAAAGCATTAAGCTTCTAACCCAGGATGATGTCTCTGGCCTTTGCATCCTTCAAGCTTTGAGGCTCTATACTTGATACACGTTGAGATAAAGCCCATACGAGATTGCCCCTGCAGTGTTCACCAAGCATCTTGCGCGTGTGAAGCTATTTCGCAAGCGAAATGGGAGGACAGCATTGGTTCGTGTGTGCCAAAGCACGGGGAAACAAGCAGTCGTGATATCACATGCCAATTTCAAAACCATAATACAGACGCATCGTACCTTCCGACATCATACCCAGGAAAGTCTTAATTGGCAGCGACTCGAGGGTCGTACCTTCTTGCTATGCGATCTTGCTCATTTTGGACATACACGTTTTTCGTTCACAAATTGCTGCATCTTTATTTTGCTTTTTCTCGTCGTTGCATCGGTGCTGCACTTTTTGATTGGTGTCTTTTGCTAGACACTCTGTTGGCGCGCCGAAGACCCACCGCCAAGTAGCTGACGAATGGACTTACTCACCATTGGCGTCTTGTCGGAAGCTCCCTTGCACATGTCCGATAGTTCCGATTGTTGGGGATAGCCACTCCATGCCAACCTCTCCGTTTCTTGACTGTTCTCGCGATATTCTCCAAAACAACTGTTGATTTCCTATTGCGACGGCATTGCTCCTTCACGAGACACAAGTGAAAGATACCTTCTAAGAGGTGTAGATCCAAAATCGCGCTCTCTAGGTAAGCTCTCCCAAAACGGAGCTCTATTTTGGTTGGGATAGCTAGAAGCATCACAAGGACGATCACCAACGACGCACAACTGCAGCTACGAGAACTAACCGTTTTGCCCAATCTAGACTGTTGTACGAGATACGATAAACGATCCCTATCTGTCAGCCTCGGATGCAATCCAACACATCACGCCGACCATCAGCCTGTTTCTCTCTCTCTATCCAGACGCATACACACCTCCTCACCTCTCACCGTCACCCTATCCGTCCTCGCACAAACACCGACACAATGGAACCGTGGACCGCGTCCGATGTTACGAACCTTGCCGGGATCTACACGATCCTCTTCTGCATGGTTGGCGTCTGCTACGTCATGTGCGATCCAATTGGTGGCTTCAAGCAACCGCCAAAGCGGACGGCCGAGGATGAACTTGCGTCCTCCACACAAGCGCAGGAACGGGCCAAAGTAAATGCCCAGGCAGCCCAGTAGACGGGGCTGACTTGATACCCTGGTCGTGAGCTAGTTCGTGGGTATGCCGAAAGGCGAAACGTCGGGAAATGACGAACAAAAATGGAAAAGAAAACTTTTAACGAAAAGGAAAAGCTATACGGTGAGAGGGAGGAGGCAAGAGGACAGAGGCGACAACCTGCAGCGAGGGCTAATCAGACGAGATAGGCCGACCAGGC